TTTGATTCAAGGTGAATAGCATTTATATGACCATCTTATGCCTTCAGGGCTCCTTTAGTATCCAGATAGTGGCAGAGTTTTAAGTCTTGGGAATGAGTAATGTCTGCAGCTAGTTCCATCATGGATGTAATTGATGCATTTGTGTACCTTTTCAAGCACGGGAAGCAAAAAACGTCCCTTAGTTAATCTGAATTTTGCCTGCCATCTTCTTTCCTCCTCTTATTGTAGCTTATGCTCACATAGTCTGAAGGGCCATGAGTTAGTACTGGAGTGGGAAAGGTGCCAAAAAAGTTGAGAGTTATAGGAAAGCATCATGTAGAATCATAGACTATTCCTTCTGGAAAGAACCTAAGATATTATCTACTTTAACTGATTTACAGAAAAGGGAACAGAGAAGAGAATGCCTTTCTATGTTATACAATTAACTAGTAGGAACAGAGTTGGGATTAGAACCCAGGCCTCCTGACTTCCAGTCTGACGTTCAATATTTGACATCATACAGCTTCTCCTTCTGCTATTCTGATGCTGCTTGACATCCCTGGGGGTGGCGTAGCTCTGCTCATGAGCTGTCAATGTATTGGGTCCTTTGGGTCAGACCCCTTGAGAACAAGCGGGCTGAGCTGGTGAGGCACATGAAATCTTTAGATGCATCAGATCCCACCAGACAGTGGTTCTCCCCTACCCCCACCCCTTCCTCCCTCCCCCTTTCAGTAAGTTGCAGCAGCCCGAAGAACACCCTGGCCTTTGAGCGTAAATTGTTCTCTGATTTACCATGACGCAGCTTTTTGTTCTTAGGCCCCCCAAAAGTATAGCACTTGCTGAAAGGCAGATCAATTCGTTGATAGCAAGTCATAGTCAAAAAATGGCCAAAAGGTCAAACTCAGAAAAGCATCGCTCCTGTTACCCATTATTGAAACACTATTTGCAATCAGCTATGGTCGACTACACAGAGACACCCTCCCATCACTCCTGGCCCCAGACAGCCTTCCAAACAAAAGCCTGCCTTTCAGATTTCAGCACTTACTTCATTTTAGACCATGTTGCTCTAAATACATGTTTGGGCAGAGTGGCAGACAATTGAGCAACAAGGCTGTGTGGAACCACCACATTTCTCTGCAAACCAGTTCATGCAGCAGTCAGCAACCCTGGCCCAGGTTTTCACACCTAACTCCTTCTTTCTCCTGGGAAACTCTGGCCAGAAAACAGCATTCAAGGCCCCCTCCTAGGCTAGTTGTCCAAAACAGAAAGACAAGGAAATTATGGTTTGGACCTGGATGAAAGTGGTTAATTCACAGCTATGTCAGGAAATGGGCATATGTTAAACGATGGGAAATTTCATTATTTAAAATCAGACTCCAAATTTCCTCCCCGACTCCACGAAGGATGCCTGCTATACAGGTTGCAAATTAAGAACAATTATTTTCCTCTCTTGCACTTGAATCTAACTTACAGCTAAAGTCATTTAAAGGGGTTAACATCCACCTTAATTAAATATTAACGTGTGCCTGTACCTGCTGCTATTGTTGCCCCTTCGAATAAGATATAACCTATTTTTGACAAGTTTTCATCTTTCTCTGTGGAAGACGCTACATGAAACCAAATCAGTGGCAAAGAGGAGGGTAATGAATAATCCATTCCATATTCCAACAGTACCCAGAGCTCTGAGTGGAAAAAAAAAAAAACATTCAGTCAGATGATAGCAAGAGGCTGCTGTGGTGCCACGTGACACAGCTAATGTTTAAATAATAATAATAATAAAAAAAACCGCGATAAACAAATCATTAGCCCTTAACAGTTGTTTAATGCAATTTGTTAATGAACGTAATGGTGGGGACTAATAATGAAAGAAAATAAAAACGTCTAAACAGGCGCCAAGTTGCCGGTGATGCGCAATTATTTCCTTGTCAAGTTTTTATGATTTAATGAGCTCCTCTGGGACTGACGGCTGTCAGTCAGTCGTGACTTTTTGACACCATTACAACTTCAAATACAGCAGCAGGCAGGCTGTTTTCCTCGGATTTGAAATACTGAAATGATCTGACAGTTTTAAAGAAAAGATGTGCAAAAAAAAAAAAGGAGAAAGAGAGGGAGAGAGAGAGAGAAAAGACAGTTTCTGTTTCTTTCTTTCTTTTTTTCCTTTCCTTTTTTTTTTTTTTCCATGGGGCAGGCAATCTTCGGATGCTGTTTGGTAATGAAAACCCAATCACTGAGGTCATTATCTGATGAGGTTTTTTGGACTGGGTAGGGTTTCTTCCTCTTTATTTCTTTACTTAATGATAACCCTCAATGGGTTTGCCCCGCATGGGATGGTCAGAGCTGCACAATTTTGTTCACCATTAATTTCTGCCTTTGAAGCTCGGGGCTCAGAAGCAGGAGCAAAGCAAACCCCCCACCAAGCTAGTTCCAAAATAAGACAATCCAGCCTGCCTTAAACAGAATAGCAAATGGCCTTCCAAGCCCCGGGATGGGAACTGACGTCAGGCCCACTGCATTTTCAGATATTTTCTCTCAATGTTGAGCATTTAAAACTCTTTAAAACTTAAGCGTCTTTAATTAAATTGCTTTTGATTTTGAACCAGGGTAACAGCGTTTTATTTATTCTGTCAGGGAAACAGTTTAGTCTGCATGAATTTCACACAGTAATATACCACCCCCCCCCCCCTTCTCCCATGCATCATTTCCAACAAAGGCAACCGACATTAGAAACATTCGACTCTTTGAGGCTTACATTTGTAAGTACTTAGAATCATTCACAGATCCAAGGCCTGCTTCAAATTTGACAAGCTACTTCTGGCAAATGTGGGAATACCCGAATCTGGGGAGGGGTGGGAGGTGAGGGAATATGTCCTCTGGGGGGTACTTTCCTTCTCAATTTTTCCAACATCCACTCAGGGGTCATGTTGGGGGAGTTCAAGGGATCCTCCAAACCTACTTCCTCCCAACTCTCCCTAGAGACAAATGGGCTTGCCTTACCACAGGGGGTCATTACAGGAGTAGAGCAAAGTGGAGCTGGTGAGGCGTGTCTATTCAACTTTGATAGCCCAGTCCCAAGGTGCAGAAATGAAATTTGGGCAACAATATGTACTGACAGCGACATGGGCAAAAAGGCAACAACTAATGAAGGGGTGACACTTGTGGAGAAAACAAACCAACTAGTCCTTGAAAAGTTAGCATTCTATTTACTCCCCCTCTGCCACAGCAATGACTTCAATATGAACTGTAGGTTTAAGTAAAATATTTTAGAGCTGAAAAGTCTGGATTATAAAATTGATTAAGCTCACTTGGTGGACCCCAGAAGCCTGCTGGGTACTGGAGCATGATTAGGTAACTAGATAACTAGATGTATACTTTAGCTAAGATGAACAGATCTGAATGAAGACTAGAGGGGACGTTCTATTACAGCCGTGCTATTAGTGCTCCCAAACAGGAAGGAATGCTTTTAAAAAATGATTTCTGTAAGGTTTTTAGTGTTTACAGATTTTTGTTATCTGAATAAAAGATTCATGACCAGACGGATTCCTAAAGCTGATAGGAAAATTAACACAGGCTCTCATTTCTTCTCTAGGTCCCACTTCACTCCATCTTATTCCCTCACCATCATTCCAAAGGAAAGGCTGCAGCTTTATTTACACAATACTAAATGATTTATCGGAACACATGCATGCCCTAACCTGCTTAGATAAGTACCATTTCTCTGGCGAATTTCACCATCCTTGCATCCCTGCATTTCCTTTCTGAACGGCAATAGTTCTGTTCTGAGTTGGTTTGGAAAAAAAAGAAGGCAAATGTTCCAGCCAAGTGATTGCTGGCCAGGAATACAAGTTATTAAACATTTTTATGAGAGACAACAGGTTTGATTTCGAAGATGCTGAAGCTTCCAATTATATTCAAAGGCTGCCCTAGAACTTGGAGCAGCCTAGGAAGCTGTAATAAAAACACCTTTTGCTTCATGCTGGGAAAAAAACAAAAACAAAAACAAAACAACAAAAAAAACCAACCGACCAACCTCACAATCTTTGCTTGAACAACTTTAGGCCTGATTACAAATGAACTCATTTCTATCCAGTACTTCAAAAAAAGAAACCCAAAATCACAAATCAAATTACAGGTTGGAACAAATATCCAATTCAGGAAGGTTCTGAGAGTATTGGTTAGTCAAAGCACCAGCTAACCACCTCTCCCTCACCCCTGTGCCCCCCTCCTTTTTTGTATTCTGCTGTAACTCACTGTTTTCAAGGAGGTTAGTAGATGTTTCAGATAAAGTTTATTCAAGTCTTTCTTACTACAGAACATCATCATATTTATAATCACATTTGAAATTTCACACTAATGGAGTCATGTTCTCCCTCTCACTGAAATATTCATGTTCTCTTTACATATGGAAATAGATATGGAGAGAACCTCGTCAGACCTTTTACTTATACTAGGGGCTGCGTTTGGCAGCACAAATATTAAAACTGGAAGGATAGAGAGATGATTAAATTGGTCTGGAATGCCCAGGTCACAATTAAATGTTGTGCAAGGCCTCATCTTGCTAGTAAATATGAGGAAGTCTGAGCTCTTACAGAGCAAAGAAACACTTCTCACAGCCAGTAATGAAAATTGTAAAAAGTGGATATTAGGCAATTTTAGTAAAAATATATTCAATAGAAAAACGGGGAAAGCTGTAGGTCAATTTACTACATGGCCCACATTCCATAGCCTCCTTTACAATTAAGCCAGAGAGGTTTGCTCCTTTTTTTTTTTTCCTTCTCCCTTCTCATGAACTGGGTTGGTTCTCAGGAGAAACTCTCTTTCTTCATCACCTGGTTTCTTCTTAACTTGTACATTTGGATACCACAGAAGGGCTTATACAACAAGGGTCTGACAGTCTGACACCCAACACAAACTGACAGAAGCATTAAATAACTCATATCTCTTCCCCTCCCTTCTCCCTTTATTCCCCTAATAGCACCTCCCCCTTCTCCTCCCCCCCCCCCCCCGCCCCCGCCCGCCGCCCCACACCCAACAACCTGGCCCTTTCTATTTTCATAGACTGGAGAAAGAATTTAACAAATACTATTCTGATCACTCAGTGAAATTTTTTCCCAAAAAATATCTCTGTGAAGACATCAGCAGGAGGGGAAATCACCCCACATGCAATCAAGAATAGAAAACATCATTTACACTCCTTGCACCAAAGTTGAACAGTGGCAAGAGTGGGGGAGGAGAAGGGGGCACTCGGGCCTGTCAGTGCAAAGGGATGATTCATGTGACCACTTTGTCTTAATTACTCAGAACAAGGCGTGTGGTGCTGTATATCAGGGAAGAGCAGATACATCAGTGTCCTTTGACAGAAATAAAAATAGCCGTCAGGATGGTGATGACCACGATGATTGCCAGGATAACCACCAAAATACGGTTTTGGATGATCCTACGAAAAAGCAAAGAAAAAGAAGAGGAAAATCAATCAGAGAACTGGAGCAACATTTGCTAAACCACACATAACAGACAAACTTGTCTAATCAAACAGTGAGGGGAAAATTGGTCCCCGGGTACCCATAAAAGGGACACGTGTGTGTGTGTGTGTGTGGGGGGGTGTGTGTGTGTGTGTGTGTGTGTGTGTGTGTGTGTGTGTGTGAGAGACAAACAGAGAGACAGAGAGAGAGGTGGGGGGTGCGGTGCAAGGTGGGGGTGGTGTTCCTGAAGTCTGCAGTTTGGGGACTTCACAAATTACAATATAAATGAATAACTTCATAATGATTTCCATGCTGCGCTGATGACACTCAAACACTTGCTGCAAGCTAAGTAATGTGAAAACTTTTCTTGGATCTGACTGCAATAGAGTCTCTTAAGTGATCAAGGGACCCACGTCATTTTCTCTTTTTAATTTAATATGTGAGACAAGGCTCATTTTTAGCAGTGTTTCTTATTAAGGTAAAAGATTCCAAGGAAACACATGTCAAAGAGGTACTTACCTGTACAAAAATACTCAGGGAAAAGTATAAAAGGGAGCTGGGGGGGGGAAAAAAGGATAGGGATAAAGAAGCAAGTGTCAAACTGTGAAGCTTATGTTGTAAAAGCCTCATCTGTCACGGGACTGTCACACACGTTCCATTATGCTGGAAGGGAATGTTACATTTGCTCGGCAGCAAAAAGATGGAAATGAGAAATAATAATAAAAAAAAAAGATGCTGGAAGTCCAAAACCTTGGTATCATTCAACATTTGTTGGAAGAACCTTATCCCTATGGCTGCTAAGTAGAAATCAGTCGAAAGTCTACTGAACAAAGATCGGTCAACAGAGGGAATCTAAAAATCTGGATGAATAGAGACAAACATCCCAATATGCCTGGAGAAAGCTTCTGATGAACTTACTCATAATTTGCTATTTGGTTCTTAGAAAAGGATCCCAGTATCATAACGTTTCCTCAAGACAGAGAGAACTTGGGTTGCACATAGTCTGATGTACTCTCACAGAACCTCAAAGAGATAGAAAGAAAAGTAGCTATTTAAACCTCCCTCTCTGTCTCTCTTAACACACACACACACACACACACATTCGCACACGCACACACACAGACACCCTACCCTTTTTCTAGATACAGTATTTTGAATGTGAAGTTTCCACTCAGAGTCTAAATAAATCCACCAATTTATGGAAGACAGACTTTTTCCATGCAGTCCATAAATATATCTGCTTATGTAGATTCAAAACTACATAGATTCTGGATGAATGAATGTGTTGTGTGTAGCAATAAATTAAAATGCAGTTTTATCCAAGTTCAAATCCCCTCTTTCCACCTCTGCCTCCCCCATAACAATTCCACCCCCCTCCCCAAGTAAATGGATGGAAGAAAACTGTCACATCAGACAAACACACTCCCTTGTGACACTCTAAAAGGACTAGCTCTCTATCCTCCTGACAGGTTACAAAATGATCGCATTTGCTGACACGTCTTCCGCAAAACTGCTTTAGAGCTTGTGTCCACTTTCCTCGCAGGAGATGAATGGCCTGTTTTGTCCTCATTTATCACTTAAAGCTCAGCCAAGATCTGTCTCGTTTATTTCTCCCTTCCCCACTAGAAAGGCTATGCCAAGACATTAATTCTTTGCGATGACAGCTAATTCAGACTTAACAGGACATATTTACTCAGCCAAAGGAAGGTATGGGGGAGTCTTTCAATAAAAATACTTAATGTCACAGCAAAGGGAATCTGCTTTTATAGATATTGGTTCATGCAAATTTGGTGGCTTAAATTTTCACCTGGACTGGACTTCTTCTCTTTTCTTCTTTGGTGCATGTGTCTCTTGAGAATAGGCTTGGGAACACACTTATTTCCCTCAGTCTCTGTGGGAAATGAGATCTCTGTTTTTCCAGAAAGTTACCATGTGGCTGGCTTGCAAAGGCAATCGGCAAAATTGGAACTCAGCAGTAAACTAGATTAGAAGCATGAAAACGCTTTAAAATTCTGCCCTAAGTAATATACGGTAATAGGCCTCTTGTATAGTTTGGTTGACAACCATTTTATTTGTGGGTTGAAGGCCTCAAGGCATCCATGATGCTAATTTACACAGGATTAACTGTGGGGAAAACTTGTTTAATCTAAGGCAAGTTTAGAAAAAATGCGTGCATAGGAATGCTTATATCCTAAATTCTTCCCTGGCCTGTTTAATTGGGTATCCTTATTTCCAGCCCCAAAGAAGATCCCATCCAGAGAGCTCTCCTGAAGTCTCATGTGTTTAATTCATTTAGGGCACACCTGATCTGAAGATTATATATTCTGTCTATCTTTCAGAGGCTCACAATGAGACAACAGAACACCCAAGAGGAAACCACATACCTGTCAATGAGTACTTCTATTAAAGAAAGGGTAGAGGACATATAAATATATATGTACATATACATGCACATACATACTCCATGGGTTTGTGATTTTGTCAGTGTGATTACTTTGTCTACTGACAGATCACGCTCCTTCTACAATTTGGTAAATGGTCTGTAAGAATCCTTACAAAATGGTAGGTCACAGCCCACCCATGCCTTCTCATCCTATGCATCTCTTGTCCATCTCTTCCCATAAATCCATCACAGGGGGTTCATCTAATATCTGGAGGGCTTTTTGTAGGTCCCTTGATATCACATAGGTATCACTGCAGAATGTGGACTGTCCACTTGTTATCTCTTATTGCATGATAGGCCTACTTTTTTTTCCTGGTCATAGATTTCTTAGGCGATATCTTTTGCTTTTATGTACATCTGGCAATATGCTTCCGCTTATTTACTGTGCATTTCTCCACTGCTCTTTTGGTGACCCAAAATTTTGCCTCCTTGGACTTGCAGTCATAGATCAGGTAGGTGGCGCAGTAGATAAAGTGCTGGGCATGGAGTCAGAAAGACTAGAATTCAAATCTGACCTCAGACACTTACTAGCTGTGTGACCTTGGGCAAGTCACTTAACCTCTGCCTGAAAAAAAAAACTGGAGAAGGAAATGGAAAACCACTCCAGTATCTTTGCCAACAAAATCCTATGGATGGTTGGTCCGTGGGGTCACAAAGAGTCAGACACGACTGAACAGCAACAGATCATAGAGCATCAGTAGAATGATGGGTATTGAGAATGATTGGATTTTGTTTAAGGGAGAAGTTTGCAAAGTCCTACACTATTTACCAGATGCAGTTTAGCATCTACATTCCTCTTATTCAGTTTTGGGCTCAACTTACTGTCCTTTTGCAGTGTATATTCAATATATCTATAGTGATGGACCAGCTCTATGGGCTTTCCATTCAACTGTATCTCATAGTCTAGATAGTAGACGTCCATTTATTTTTTCTGGTGTAGCTACATTGGTCAAACTCTTAAGTGATTATGGTTCTTATTTATAGGAAACTCTAAAATGTTCCAAGGCTCAATGCAGTAAACACAATGTCATAGCAAACAGTAGTATCTTGATTACCTTCATGTGTAGGGATTCCCTTTTCTGGACTCTAACCTAGTTATTTTTTAGGGAGTGGCAAATATTTTTGAGGGACCATCCATCTCTCTGTTTTATGTCTCACTTGGTGTTAATAATCAGAGAATTATTAAAGAAAGTTAACTCTGTTGTTGTGTCTATCAAGGAATCTGTTATGGTCTTAACCATATGGTATGGAAGACCCCTTGCCAGAGGAAAGTCTTTGTGGTAGCTTTCTGCTTTACCAAATGAAATGCTAAAACAAAACAAAACCAAACCCAGCCCCCAAAAATGATAAACACAGTCAGATCTTATATTCTCCTCATCTTGAAGTCAAGTGTGTGACTGTAAAGATGTAGTATACTATAGAACATAATTTGTGAAGGCTTTCCTGTACCCTTCTGATATTGTCACTAAAGATGACCTTGATATGGTACAAATAAGGAGCCTCAAAATGATTCTGTAGAATGGAGGAAACAGGCATATAGATTAGTATTATTGATGTTTTGATGAACTTTTGAGCAACATTAAAGAATTTTTTCTAATCTTTGGTCATTGCCCTTTCTTTCAGATGAGAAGCAGCATAGTACGGTGAAAAGAGTACACTGGCTTGGAAGTTAGCAGGTTGGAATCCCACATGTGATGCTCACTTACTGCCTGGGTTATTTATGCATGTCACAGCTTCTCTGTGCCTCGATTTCATCATGACTGAAACAAGGAAGATGGACGAGATAAACACAAGGGTCCCTTCCAGCTCCAAATCTATAATCCTAAAATATCTTGGAAATTTATTCCTTAATGCCTTCAAAGTGATGTCAGTTAAGTTCAAGCATTTATTAAGTGTCTATTATGTATAAACCACTATGCTAAGTACTAGGGATACAAAGGCAAAAATGAAAACTAGTTCATCCTTGCAAGGAGCTTCCTGGCTAAGAAGGAAGTTGCCTCCTGTACCAACCTTCTCTTTGTATATATCATCTCGTCCAGGTATCATTTCCCTTTCTTTGCCTTTTCCTTTTCTATCCTCCCTTCCTCCCTTCTTTTCTTCCCCCTCTCCCTTCCTTCCGTCCTTTCCTTTCTTAATTCTTTCCTTCCTGCTTTCCTCTCTCCTTCCCTCCCTCCCTTCCTCTTCATTCCTTAATCCTTCCTTTCTTTCTTCCTTCCTCCTTTCCTCTCTTCTTCCTTCCTTCCTTCCTTCCTTGCTTCCCTCCCTCCCTCCCTCCCTTCCTTCCTTTCCTCAATCAGCACGTTAAGTTCTGTGATGTAAAGAGTACAAATGCACTAACTCCATTGTCCTTGATGGATAAAACAGTTTGTTATAGAAATCTTGACGTGACATACATTTTGAAGTTTTCCCTTTTGGGAATTTATAAGGGAGAAGGGAATCTGCATTATATGAATCAGTGTACTTGGGTTCAAGTCTTGCCTAGCTCCACCACTTACTACACATTTGAGCTAGAGCAAGCCACTTCATTTTTCT